CTGGTGTCATGGGGATTTTTAAAAAGCAAACATTTTCAACATTAGATAGGAAATTATTCTAAATCTATTTTGGTGACTATCTAAAATCACTTTTATGTTTGGACAACTTCAGTTTAAATAAGTGTTTATTTGAGAAACAGTAGCAGGAATTAATTAAAAGCAAAATCACAGAGAAAAGAAAGGGTGTATTCATACTTGCTCTGGGCATTATAATTTTCAAAAATATCTTTTTTTGGACAATGTATGGATGAGATTGCATGGACAATAGAGGAAAACAAAAACCTAGCAGAATCTCTGATGGCAGCTAAAGTAAAATCAGATGGAAACTGTTATACACTGAAGGAATTTGGCAACCAAATGAAATAGCACAGCTATTTATATCTTGCATGATGTCTTTTCATAGAGATTTTATGTAATTTGACGAGTTTGACTTATTTGTGCTCATATGTTTAAATGGAATGACATGTATGAATTGGCATTTAATAGACATATTCCAATAATTTCCTCATTACATCATTCATTTAAAAAGTACTTTAGATTTTTTGGTTGCGGCTTGAGAGAAAGAGAGACAACCAGCATACTTTGTGATGTGGTTAAATACAGCTTTTCTGTGTCACATTCAAAGCAAAATTGTAACTCAATGTTATGTTTGGAACATGGTCGATTCCTTTATTAACTGTTATACTTCTACATTTTATTCCACATAAAACATTTAACAGTGATCATTTAAACCGACAGGGTGTTTGGGAAATTCTCCATTGGAAATTAGCTGCCACAGATTTGATTTAAATCTGACAAACTGAAGGAATGCCTGCAATCTGTTTGGGAAGGAAAAAAAATATCAGTTTAGCTGCCAAAATGTGCTGCATTTCTGATGCAAATATACAAGTTACTTCACACAAAAAAAACTTTTTTAAAAAGGAAGGGGGAATATTTTAGCCCCTTAAGAGTTTGAAAGTCTTTGTAAAAGTTCCATGTTTAGATTTCTGTACTAAGCCACATGTGGTTGTTAATTGTACTATCGTTCTGGGATTTCAACCACATTTTGAGCTCCCACTGTTACTCTCAGTTAGCTCTTGAAAGGGATTTCTGCACATAAAGCCAACATACCTGTAAAAGAATGAAAGCTAAAAGAAACAAAAACAAATGTCCCCCCCCCCCGCCCTGAAAATAGCAGGGATGATAGAATAGTAGAATGATGGAGATTGACAGATTGGCTGAACTGAAATATTGGTTAGGAAGGTTGGGTAAGTAGTGAAATCACCGTGGGATGATTCTGCTCCAGCATGTGGCGATGGTGCAATTTAAGTACCAAATGATAAAATGACTTTTTCTGTGATGGAATGGAATCCCCCTGCAGCATACCACCATTGACGGAGATGAAATAGGGCTTGAGCAAGAGTTTTCAGTGAAATCAATTAGGAGCCTCTTCATTCCATTCGGCAGCCTTAACAGTGTGTCTCATGGAAAAGCCTGTACTAGCCTTTCCAGAAAGTGGGTTGGATAGCACAGATCCATTCTGCTTGCAGAGGCACTTTCCCCTGGGAGGAGCCTTCCCCTGACCTAAGTGGTGTCCTACTGGAGAAAAGCACCTCTGCTGGTGAAACAGATCCATGCAATTCAACACAATAGTTTCTCTGTTCTTTTCTACACTCCCAGTCCCTTGCCTTCCAAGACCTACTCGTTACTTTTCTGTGTTCTTTGCAAATGGAACTCGCCCTTTAGATTCTTAACCGCGTAACATGCTTTTGGAATGATGGAAGGTTCACAACAGATGAAATATAAATAGTAGCACTTCTAACCCCCACAATCCAGTCATGTGAGCTGGACTGTCACTATTTTTCCTATACTGAGTGTGCAGACCTGTAAGAAGAAACATCTTCAGAATGAGCCAGGACTGCCTGCCTGCTTTTCGGGATGTATTGAACTGATTCTGGACTTATAAAAGAAAGCCTCCAATGTAGCAGAAAGGATGTGTTTTTGCCTCTCTCTTTCTGTACCAGAGCACTGAATCAGAGGGGCTACTGTCACCCCTGGACTGCTGGATACTGTATCCTCAAGCATCCTGAAAAATGTTCAGACCAGCCTGCCCCACATCATCAGTCCAGCCACGGGTATTTAAAAGCATCACCTCCATGCTGAATCAGAGCCCTTGGGGAATAGGGGGGGACTAACTCTTATTTCAAAGCCTTTGTTCTCTGACCGGGTGGGGGCAATTTTTTTGCCTACCACTTGCTGGTTTGGGCATCTTTCCTCTTGTAATATGGCCTCTGGGGAGACAAGCAGCCTGGACAGGATTATTTGAGCTGATGATTTCATGATTTTATGTGGATTAAACAGGCCCCTTCCCCAACTCCAGGCTTGTCTCTGTTTTTAAACTCTCAGACTCCTAAGCTCACTTTTGGTTTAAAAAAGAATTGGGAAAATATATCTGTGGCAGTGTGTCATGGGCCTCGAAAGAGAGAAGGAATAACCTGGTGCCATCTCTGGAAGAAATCTGCACTAGGCAACTTGGAAAATGTTCTGCTTTTCCTTTAGCTAGACATACAAAGTGCTCCTTGGAGTCTGAGCAATGCCTCATTGAAAGCCAAGTGTCCTATTTATTCCATGCCCATCTCTAAAGTATACAGTCATTTTAGAAGGTGTGTGGAGAAGGGTTCATAGTTCATAAATAAAGACATGAGGATAACTCTTAAGCATCTCCTTAATAAGCTCCTGTCCTAGCAGTCTCTGAGAGAGATAGATGAGAGGCCTCTTGTAAGAACTCTTTGACTCTCTCAGCCAGACACTCCCTACCTAATGCCAAGGAAGGACATACATCATTTAGAATCCAGCATTCCATATTTCCATATGACACTGCCCATTTACCACCCAACTCCACCCCCATTTCCACCCCTCCTTTCTTTTGTCATGCCTCCTTCCCACTCTGCACTTTTCTCCTTCCCTCTTTCACCTTTTCCTCTCCTGCATGGCGAGATTACCCCATCATTGTAACTTTTTAATAATCCTTTTTTGTTCTATCACTAATGTAGATAGATCACTGGTCTTGATATGTATGCGGGCCCCCACCCCCACCCCAGCAGGGAAAGGGCTGGGATCCTTTGCACATTGGACCCTAGGGAGGGATCTTTCCCCCTTCCCCCAAAGCCAGTCTGCACACAACTTGGAGGGCAGGCAGAGGGACAGGCCAGGGAGGTCTTCTGCGAGTTTGATGCTTCTAGCTTTTTTCCCCCCTTTTTTTTTTTAGGGTGAGCGTTTGACACACTCCTCAATCCTTGCACACTGGACTCTAGGGAGGGATCTTTTCCCCCTTCCCCAAAGCCAATCTGCACACACTTTGGAGGGAGGTGTATTAAAAGGAATGGCAGGATTGCCCCCTGGAAACAATGGGAGTGGCTTGAAGGCCCATTTGTTTTTTAAAAAAATTAAAACCCTTGGGATGCCACCCCTCCTGACAGACCTGCCAGCCAGCCAGCCACCAAGCTTGCGTCCCTCTATGGGCCATGCATGCCTGGAGTAGCCCAGCGGCAGCTAGCCAAAGCGGGCGGGAGAGCAAGGAGGAGAGGAGAGAAAGGGGAGGGGGCAGTGTGCCCCATCCCTTGCTCACACACTGGGCCAAGTCAGGAAAGTGACTACTCACCTTCCCCATCCTCACTGAGGCACAGTAAAAAGCTGCTGTCTCCCCCCCCACACACACACACACACACACAGAGCGAGAGAGAGAGAAGGCAGCAAGGGGAGACAAAAAGCTGGCACCTGTTCTTTTGTCTCCCTGACAAGGCCAGGCCGAGGAAAAAGAAAGAGGGCCAGGCTGGGCCTGTCCCCACTCCACTCCCAATACAGTGGGGAGATCAGGTGATGACACTTCTGGATGACCACCCGGAAGTGACATTTCATGTCAGCGATGTTCCCCCTCCCCACACTCAGCTCCTCACAAGCTTCCAGGGATTGTTACTGCTGGGCTGGCAACACTATATCTTACACATACTTAGCAGAAGTTTTCCTTCTTAGAATAAGGGTGGTTTTTTTAGCAGTTATGCACATTCCTGCTATTCTGAGCAATTGGGGGAAAAACCAGATATGATGCTTGGATTTCAATGAAAAAACAAACAACAACAACAACAAAACTGACGGCTCCATTCACAGAAATCCCAGCATCATGTCTGGTTTGGCCCTCAATTTCCCCAGATAAACTGACGGAATCCCAATCAGGGAGCTCTTTAGGTAATTGGTGAATTTTGCTTAGAAGGCAGGGTTTTTTTGAAAATAGGAAACAAAAGAATTGCACTAAAACCCACTAAATTACAAGTCTTTCTTTATTACAGTTACATTTGTGAGTCAGCAGATTAGTTCATGTATATCAATTTAGACTGATCACGAGGAGCTTGCATCAAGACGGAAATTAGCAAACAGAATAATTGACTTTAACTGCATAGCTAGTGTGTGGGCCACCCTGATTCCTATGCAAGGACACATAATTCTGTGTTGGATGCAAATAAACAAGGTTTCCACCACTTTGGAAATTGTGTTCCAGAACAAGGCAGTAGAACAAACTTTTTGAAGGCATAACATTCTAACCACCATTCTCAGCTAGTTTTTTTTTCTCTTTACTGGAAGGTGTCCTTTTGTGCCTGTCAGGAATTTCTTCTTCAGTACAAAGAAGAAATAAATAAACCAAAGGGGAAGGCACTGGTGTTAAAGAAAAATACCAAATGCTGTTGAAGAAAAATACCAAATGTGGAGAACCAGTCCCACAATGACCATAGTATGATCATCTCTCCCTAATTTTGTCCTATGGGCCAAATCTGTACCCTATCTGGCATCCAAACAAAGCACTGTGGTTAACTAGCCTATGAAATAAAGCCAAAATATCATAAAGATTGCTGAACTGCTTAGAATACAAATGCTTCAAGTATAACAATGGTGAAAACCCATTTCAGTCTGGGAAGCAAAATACAGTCTGCCATTGCTAAAATGGTGTGTGCAATCTCTGTTTTCAGGGTATCAAGGCAGCTTTCACTCTATACAGAACTGTTTCCACTATGGGGACTGCTACAGGGCAATGGATTCATCTGTCAACAGTGATGGACTTTCAGGGGACTCTCATTGCTTCAGCCCTCGGCGGCAAAATGGTTATCATATCCTCAGTGCGCCTGAAGCCTCAACAGGTAATTTATTCAGACCGTGTTGCTTTAATCTTGTTTGGCATTTTCTCTCCAAAGAGGTATTACATCTGTATTAATAACTGGTTTTTATAAATAAGTCAGACATTGATTTTTTTGTTCCATTCTTATAGAGCTTAGTACTCAGGTTTTGTATTGTAATTCTCTTATTCTCTGGTTTCAAAAATGACTTTACTGAAAGCTAGAATTCACAGTACATGTGTCAAGCTAGCAGTTACTGGAAATGTGTGGAGGCTGATGCAGCTTCTGGCAATGTCTAGTTGAATCATATGTATGACATGACATCATTGCAAACATGCCAGTTGTGTGCTTCAACATTACCATTTCACCTAGACGTCATCCGAGAATACAGGAGAGATATATGGTAGCCACATATTTCTGGTAATATCTGGTTTGGTCAGACAATCTGCTAACTTTGATGGCTAAATGGCAATCTAGCATTTCCTAGAAATATAAAAACAAAATTAGTGTTTTTTTAGGATTTTTCATGGCCCTTAAAATTGAGACAGTGGTTTTAAATTCTATATTGATGTTCACAAAAATGTCATTAATTGTTGTGGAAACTTTGATTTTATAAAATCCTAATCATATATAAGAACATAAGAAGAGCCCTGCTGGATCAGGCCAGTCGTCCATCTAGTCCAGTGTCCTGTCTCACACAGTGGCCAATCAAGATGGATAGCCATGTTAGTCTGTCTATAGTAGTAGAAAAGAGTCCAGTAGCATCTTGAAGACTAACAAAATTTGAGGAAGCGTATGAGCTTTTGTGAGTCACTGCTCACTTCTTCAGATACTGCTGAATGACATGAACGACATTAGCAGCCAACTGACAATAGAAGGTGTGGTTGGATTAGGTGTGATATGCAGAGAGGTAGTAGGCGTGGAGAAATCACCATTGGTAATGAGACAGGAAACCTAGGTCTCGATTCAATCCAGGTAGATGCATTGTCTTGAGCTTTGTTATCAGTTGTAATTCAGCAGTGTCCCTTTCTAATCTCCCTTTAAAATGTCTTTGTAAGATAACTGCTACTTTTAGGTTAGCAACTGAATGTCCTGGAAGGTTAAAATGTTCCACCAGTTGTTTTTTAATGTTGTGGTTTCCGATGTCAGACTATGTCCATTAATTCTTTGTTGATGGGACTGGCCTGCTTGTCCAGTGTAGAGGGAAGAAGGGCATTGCTGACACATGATATAAATCACATTAGAGGATGAGCAGGAGTAAGAACCTGAGATGGTATGGCTGATATTGCTGGGTCCACTGACGATGTTGCTAGGATCCATATGAGAGCAAAGTTGGCGTCTTGGTTTGTTGCAGCCCTTGGTACCAGAGTCCTTGTTACTATTAAGTAGTTTGTCATTGTGGGTGAGAAGTTGTTTTAGGTTAGCAGGCAGTCTGTAAGCAAGAAAAGGTTGGACACCCAGGGCCTGTATGAGGGAAATGTCACTATCCAGCATGGGTTGTAGATTATTAATAATGCATTGGAGAAGATGAGTTGGTTTCATACCCTGCTCTTCACTACCTGAAGGAGTCTCGGAGCGGCTTACAATCGCCTTCCCTTCCTTTCCCCACAACAGACACCCTGTGAGGTAGGTGGGACTGAGAGAGTTCTGAGAGAACTGTGACTGACCCTGGGATACAGAGGCTGACTGCTTCTGAACATGAAGGTTCCCCGCAGTCACCATGGCTAGTAGCCACTGATAGACCTACCCTTCATGAAACTATCTAGTCCCTTATAAAGCTGTCTATTACTGTGTCCATCACTACATCCTCTGGCAATGAATTCCACATTTTAATCACTCTATGTGTAAAGAAGTATTTCCTTTTGTCCATCCTGATAAGAAAAATTGTAAACTCAAGTTATCTTGCACAAAAGTGTACTGCAATATTGGGTATACTGTGTACAAAGTGACTGCAGTTTTTATATCATTATAATTTTAAGTATTACATAATTTTAAATAGTTTTTAAAATTACAGTCATTTTGATGCACAGTCTATGACAATTTCCTCCAGCTTTACAAATGCATTTTAAACACTGAAGATACAAAATTGGATATTTGCCCATTTCCCCCTATTTTACTTTGGCAAAACCATTGCTGGCAGTCAGATTGCTTGCCTATGAATCTTTTAATTGGAGCAAGAGCTCAGATGCCAAGTTACCCCAGAATTAAATGCATCATTCAGTCCAGAGCACTTTGCTCCATACAAAGTAAATAGGTTAGACTAAGAACCTGTTCGCATTGAGATATATTCGAGCAGTACTAAATCTGCCCTTCCTTCCACCTCCTTTGCACTGTCCCCTCCAGTAAAAACCTGTCTTCACCGTGTGTAGACATTACTAAGCTGTGAGTTTCATGCAGATTCAGTGGTGAGTTAAAGCTGATTCAACCAGCAGTAGACTTATATCATTTCACTCTATATTGAAAATATCTGGGTTACTGAGAGGCAAGCCCTGAGTGTACAGTGTTAAGAGTGCTGTTGTCATGGAGAAGGCTTATGTGAGAAGTAAGTAAAGAAGCTGGTAAGTAAAGGGCTGTGAAAAACTGGGGAGCAGACTGGCCGGGTGGGCAGCATATGTTACGAATATTTCAGTTACAAGCAATGTCCATTGCTTAGGAGACTGCAAACAGGGGGCTCAGCTCTAACTTTTCTGCTTATTTAAGTATAGATTTATGTTGAGCCTGGCTTTAAATAATTTGTTGCAACACTGATATTCGTAAATTAGTCTCTTTATACTCATAAGAAAGTATAAACTCAATCTAGACCTCTGCCACATGTCATTGTCCCTTCAGAGAAAGGGTTTGCAGTCTCAGTTTGTGTGCGGATACAGTACCTAAAGCATATGTAACATGAATCAGCACATAGGAAAAATCAGATGAAACATTCAGTCTTAGCCTTTTTGGGTGCTGTCCTCTGCCATCCTTTCTGTTAACGCCAGATTTCAAATTTTGATTGGCAGACTGCAGTAATCAAAGAACAGCCTAAATAAACTTTTCAAAAGAAATCACAGAATAATACCATAGCAAGAAACCCTCTACAACATAGGGATGGCCAACTCTGTGTTGGGAAATTCCTGGAGATGTGGGAGTGAAGCCTAGGGAGGGGGGGGGGGGGGGGGGGGACATGTCAGCAAGGGACAGTGCCATAGAGGACACCCTCCGAAGCAGCCATTTTCTTCAGGAGAACTGATCTCTGCAGTCTGGAGGCCAGTTGTAATTCTGGGAGATCCCCAGGCCCCACTTGGAGGTTGGCAACCCCAACAACAGCTATTGATAGTTCTCTGTCGGGGGGTTAAGTTTCAATTCAGATATTTTTGTTTTTACAAAATTTATGCAGGAAAATTTTAGATCCCTGTTGCTTCTTTTTTAAATTCGTTTTATATATATATATATATACACACTCACAAATCTTCAAAACATATAAATATATACCATCATCACATTCCGATGAGGATGTAAAAAGGAAAAATTGGTATATGAATTATAAACTCTACAAAGTGCATAATAAAATCTCTTATTGGCATGAGCGTGGTTCCAATAGGTAATAAATGAATGCCGTCAGTCTATACATGTTACTTGCTTGTATGAAGCAAATATTTGGAGCACTAAATGTAACAGCATACAATGTATGTAAATATCATCTAATTTTTGCATGCAAAATAGAGCTATTTGCTTTAGCAAGACTCATTGGGGCTTAGTTTAAGCTTGTTTTTCTTTCTTTTATGGAACCATCAATATAAAGTGCAATCTCATCTACCAGGAATGCAAAACATGACACATTGCTACATTATGAATCCTATTAACAGCCAATTTTAAAAAAAAATTGGTCCAAGCCTTCAATGATTTATGCTATCTGGAACTTCTGAGATGTATGCTTGTCCTGGTGTATCATTGTCCATGAATCATCTTTCCAGGAGTCAAAAGGAGCTGCTGGGGCCAGGAGAGTATAGGAAAGATCTACATCTCCCAGCACCTTTCACTGAAGGCTCTCCCAAAAAGCTTGAGAGGGGATCTCTTAGCCTCTAATCGCATAGGGGAGCTGGAAAGTGACTTTCAACTTTATTTATTTAGCTATTTATATTCCACTTCCCACTGGGGACCCGAAAAGATTTACAATATCATTCTCTCCTCCATTTATTCTAACAACAAACCTGTGAGGTAGGTTAGGCTGAGCATGATGTGACTAGCCCAGTGTCACCCAGCAAGTTTCCATAGCAGAGTAGAGATGTGAACCTGGGTCTCTCAGATACTAGTTTGACACTCTAACCACTGCACCACACTGGCTGTTTCTTTTGCAGCTGCTTACATGGCTGGACAAGACACCATTTTAAGCTGAACAATGACTTTCCTGACGATGTGTAAGTGGCTGAAAACTGGAGCTGCTACATGATGATGATGAATATTCATATATCAGGGTCTCATTGCGCCAGTAAGATGCACACGTGTCTGAAGCCTTATATTTAAAAATATAAGGAAAAGGGTCCGTTCATAAAACAGCTGTAGAATATATCCACTTGGATTGCATTTTAGGAATATTTTGTTGCTGCCTCTGATCTGGAAATAAGAAACTGTCACTTTGTGCTTTGTGTTGAGTGTACACAGCTACCGGTTTGACCAGCAGGGCCTTTCTTGTGGCAGTATGCAGTTGGACTAGATACCAGCACTTATTTTTGGGACTGTCCCAAGTCTCAAGGGGGGAATTGGTGGGACCTGGTGCAATTTCATGAGTACTGGCACACACCCCCTTTTCTTTTTCTTTTTTGCAAAAAAAAGCACTGCCTACTGGTATGGCTACCAAAACGTATTAACCAGTAAGCTTGTTCACAGACGTTTGATGGTAAATAAGGGTTACTTTATCATTACCCCTAAAGATGATTTGTGTATTATTGTGCTGTGCGAAGCAAATGTCTGTTTCTCCACATGACACATGTTGGAAGCTGCTACAGTTTTCCCACATGTTGTGACGCACCCTCAGTTTTGTAACCCTACACCAAACGACAGCTCAGTTGTGTATCTTTTCTCCCACAGAGGAGGCAATTGTGAGGAGACAAACAGCAGAAACAGACAGAGCTAAGGAGCACCTCCAAGCTGCTTTGCATTAAGAAACAAAGAATGGGCAGGGAAGAACCACCCAATTGAGCAGCACTTGCAATTTGGCCTTTGGACTCCGAGGGTGTATCCCATTGCCACTTAACTGTATTAATCAGTCTTTTGTGTTTGCTGTACTTTCAGGCTATGAAGTTATATCTGAAGCACAATGTGTATCGGAAGAAGTAGTCATCAGTGGGACAGAGGAGAATAATGGATTCTTCCAAAATGGCACCTTTGATCACTGCTTTAATCACATCCCTCCCATCTATACAGATACCTAAACCAGGCTTGAACCTTGTTTTCTTTACCATGCTTATAATGCCTTTTGTATTTACGGAATTGTTGTTCAACTATTTTTACTGTATTTAGTCTGCAACATTGTATGTGCTCATTTAAGTCAACCCTTCACATTTACCAACCCATTTTATAAAGGAATATACTGTATAATTATTGGAACCTATTCTTTTGCTGTGGCACTTTGAAAATGATTCTCTTAAGGGAAAAGGAAGAGCATCTGAAACTGCTTGGTGTGTGAGTCCTTCTTAGTAAAATATAAATCTAAATTATATAATATGCTTGTAAAGATTTTTTTTCCTGAAAAGTATGTTTTCAATTTAAGAATGCTGGTTCCTTTAATCACAGTTAATCCATTGGACATTTTCTTGACTATAAAAGGACTTCTTTTAACAGTCATAAACCTCATGTACATAAACGATTTCACTTGCTGAACTGGTTTTCTATTTTCAGTTTTACAAGAAAGCATTAAACAAGTCTCTTGTCTTTTTTAAAAAAAATCTTCTCTGCCTTTCTGATAAACTTTAACGTCAATGACAGAGCTCATGGAGCAGAACTTCAAAATGATAGATGCTGCTGTTTTCTATAACCACCCCAAAAGGCTGCCATTTTGAAAGCTAGTGACCTGAACCCCTTTCCAGTAAGCTCTCAGAAACTCTTCTTTCTCTAAAGGTGGTATTTTATGTTGATTTATGATAGGTTCTTATCACATGCTCACCACCAACAAATGTTGACATGGCACTAAAGCAAGTTTGTGTTACTGGATCCAGAGATCAAGAGGGAATTGCCCAAACCTCAAACATTACAGTTGTGGAACCTTTCCCCTTTAATCACCCAAGGGGAGACTTGACACACGTTCCAACTCTTTTGCCCTTGTGTATTTCTACCTACAGATGAGCATGTCTTTAACCAGGGATGGGGCAGGGTGTGTATAACCATCACCACCCAATAGCTTGCTTACATCATAGATGTAATCCATGCATAGAAAGAGGTTTTTGCACATGGACTTTTCCTTGCTTGATTGTGACACATGTTAAATATTTTTCTTGCAGCCAGCTTCACTTAAAAGGTGCCCAAGCATCCAAATAATACATATTTAAAGTACACAGACGACTTTGTATTCTTAAGTCCATTATTCTACATTAACGTCTTTTGTAAAAGCAACCAAATTTAAAGTATTGTTTAGAAACACAGAAAGAATCCAAATGATTTTAAACTTCAACAATAGGCCATGACTGTATCGCCCTCTGGTGGTTAATTGAAAGGTAAGGCAGTTCGAAAGCAAGAAATTGCAAGTAGATAAATAGGTACCACTTCAGTGGGAAGGTAACAGCGTTCCGTGCGCCTTGGTGTTTAGTCAGGGCCGGCCCCAGCTTATTTTGCACCCTAGGCGAGGATCCCTTCTGCCCCCCCCCCCGTGCGCCCACCATTTTTCAAAAATAAATGCATTTTAGGAAGAATGAAAAACACAAATAATCAAGAAACTCCCAGAGTACGGGGCCGGGTGCAGTTTGGTGCCCCTAAGGGCCAGCCCGCTCTAGGCAATCGCCTAGTGAGTGAGCCGGCCCTGTGTTTAGTCATGCCGGCCACATGGCCACGGAAATGTCTTCGGACAGCGCTGGCTCTTCGGCTTTGAAACGGAGATGAGCACCGCAACCCTAGAGTTGGATTCGACTGGCTTTCGAGCAAGGGAACCTTTACCTTTAAGGATACTTTTACATTGCAATGAGAGGCTAGGGCAATCGCAAGAGAAGCAACAATGTTGGGGCAGTTTGTACAAGCAATCTGAGTTTAGGATTTTTGTTTCTCATCCTCCATTTTTTATGTCTACTGGCTGCTGGTGACATTTGTTGGTCCTTATTATTTTTAGTGCAATTGCTTGGAAGTTAAAGCAGTCCCCCAACTGAGCTAAAGGCCATACAAGTGTAGAGGCAGGCTTCTGCACACATACTGCTAGACAGATGGAAAACTACAGGCTCAAACAGGTGCTGAACATGCAGTTGTTCAGCCTAGGGTTGCCAACTTTGGGATGGGAAGTCTCTGGAGACTGAAGGGTGGGTGCTGGGGATGTCACCGTTTGGAGAAGGGGGGGAGCTCAGTACAGCAGGGGTGCCATAGAGTCCACCCTCCAAAGCTGCCATTGTCTCCAGGGGAACCGATCTCTGTAGCCTGGCAATCAGCTGTCATTCCAGGAGATCTCCAAGCCCTGCCCGGAGGTCAGCAACCCTCTACGGACTGCACAGCCCCGGGCAGGTACAATGGCATGAATAAGCTCTTCAGGACATGGGGCTTGGCGGGATTAGCTGACCCCCTTTCCCTTCCCTGCATAACAGCAGGCTGGCAGCTCTGGACCTCTTGTCAGAAGCTGTGTGTCTGCTGAGCTGAGGCACATGAGTGAGGTTGGATCAAGGTGCCTCCCAGTCACAGAGATGTGTGAAAACGGGCACTGAGGCTTCTCATGGTCCTGAAGGAAATAACATAGGGATAGGACATGTTTCTCTCAGCCTGTTGGCAACCCTGTTTAGCACTGCTATGCAGGCGATGAAATTGTCCGTTCGCAGACACAACTGCCAGGTTCACCATCAGCCCAGCTCCCCCTCCACAGACACCATCAATGCAAGGACATAAGAAATTATTGGAATGTCTTATGTTTCCATTAGCATTTATTACTCTTCTAAGTGTACTAAGTAGGGTTGCCAACTCTGGCTTGGAAATCCCAGGATATTTTAAGGTGGATCCTGGGGAGGGTGGGGTTTAAGGCAGGGAGTGACCTTAGCAGGGTATAATGCCACACAGTGTGCCCTCCAAAGCAGCCATTTTCTCCAGTGGAACTGATCTCTGCCATCTGGAGATCGTGGTAACTCAAAAAGAACATCAGGCCCCATTTTGAGATGGGTAACTTGAGTACAAAATAATTTATTTCAATACAAGTAATAACTTGACTGAACCTCATTTCTCCTTGGGGTGTTGTAAAAACAGAATTAACTCCAGTTCATGGCCTTTCTCTCTCGCTCCCTGTTCTGACCAAAAAAAGTATATCTGTTGTAGATGCCTTTCTGCCCTGGCTGCCTGATGGGTAACAGCCAGTTACTTCCGTCTGCATGTATGTCCAAGCTGGAATTTTTAATTTCTAGGCAAGGGAAAAGAAAAAGGGCAGAAGTCAATGGTGAGGGGTGCAGGATCTTATGCTTCACAGCCTTTGTGCATTTGTCTGGTGCCTTCCTTGGGCTCAGGCAGAGAGGGGTGCAGGTTGAGCACCACTCTCTTCTACCTCCCCTCTCCTCGTTCTACTCCCTTTTGAGTTAGGAGCCACAGCTGGCCTGTCTGCTCCTTCAAGCCCAGAAGAGGAGGAGGAGGAGGAGATTGGATTCATACCCCGCCCTTCACTCGGAGTCTCAGAGCGGCTTACAATCTCCTTTCCCTTCCCCTCCCCACAACAGACACCCTGTGAGGTAGGTGGGGCTGAAAGAGCTCTTTCAAGAACTGCCCTTTCAAGGACAGCTCTTGTCAGAACTATGGCTTGCCCAAGGTCATCCAGCAACTGCAAGTGGAGGAGTGGGGAATCAAACCCGGTTCTCCCAGATTAGAGTCCGCGCACTCAACCACTACACCAAACTGGCTTTTAAAGGCTTGGCTAATGGCCTCCCTCTAGCTAGGCCAAAGCCTGTGAGGGACCAATAGCTTTTTTAAAGCAACCTTCCTCACTCTTGTCACTCTTCTCTGCCTCCTGGGTGAAGTGTCCCAAGAGCTGATTATCAGACAACTGGCTGACCAAGGGCCAGCTGTCAGTGACTGACTGACTCTTAAAGGGCTACCTGCCACTGATCAGCTTGTCAGTGAGAATTTTCAAGATAAAATAATAAGGGGGAAAGGTGTTTTTACCTGTAAATTCC